CATTACAGAAATGCAACTTAAAACCACAAGGTGACAGGCATGGTAGGACACACCTGTAATCCAAGCACTCGGGGGCTGAGACAGGAGGATCAAGAGTTTAAGGCCAGAATGAACTGCAGAGCCAGACCCTGTCTCTAAAAACAAACAAACAGTGCCAGGCACCGGTGGCTTACGCCTGTAATCCCAGCTACTCAGGAGGCAGAGATCAGGAGGATCACAGTTCAAAGCCAGCCTGGACAAATGGTTCTCAAGACCCTATCTCGATTTAAAAAACAAAAAAAACCCAAATAAACCTTTCATTAAAAAGGGTTGGTGGAGTGGCTCAAGGTGTAGGCCCTGAGTTCAAGTCCCAGTACTAGAAAAAAAAAAGTAACAAGAACTAAATGCTGGGTGAATGGCCTAGCAAGTGCAAGCCCTGAGTTCAAACCCCAATACAGCCAAAAAAATCCCCAAGCCCTACACATCACTTAGCACAGGACTAAGCAATCAAACCCCTGGGCATTTATCCTGGAGAAATGAAGTCTTATGTTCACACAAAAGTCAGCTTGTGATTCTTCATAGCAGACTTTTATTTATATTTCTTTTATATTTTTATATTATTTTATAATTTTTTAATATATTTATATATTTTATAATTTTTTATATTATTTTATATTTTTATATTTATTTGGTGGAATTGGGGTTTGAACTCAGGGCTTCAAGCATGCAAGGCAGGCACTCTACCACTTGAGCCACACCTCCAGTCCATTTTGCTCTGGGTATTTTTGAAATGGGGGTCTCAGGAACTATTTCTCCCAGAGCCAGCCTCAAACTGCAGTCCTCCAGATCTCAGCCTCCGAAGTAGTTAGGGTGTCAGGTGTGAGCCACCAGTGCCTGGCTTCATAGTGTCTTTTGGCTTGATAGTCAAAACCTGGAAATAATCCAGGTGTCCTTAAACCTAAGTGGTTAAGTACAGCGTGGTGCATCCATACCGTGGAGAGCTTCTGAGCCATGAAAAGAGGCAGATAAGTAATAATACACAGGCAAAACAACTAAGATGGATCTCATGAAAATTATACAGAATGAAAAATCCAATCTCAAGAGATCATATAAGGGCCTGGCGCGGTGGCTCACATCCATAATCCCAGCTACTCAGGAGGATTGCAGTTCAAAGCCAGCCTGGACAAATTGTTCACCAGACCTTATCTCAAAAAAGCCTTAAACAAAAAAGGGTTGGTGGAGTGGCTTACAGTGTAGGCCCTGAGTTCAAGCCCCAGTACTACAAAAAAGAAAGAAAGAAAGAAAGAAAGAAAGAAAGAAAGAAAGAAAGAAAGAAAAAAGGCAGACCCTATCTCACAAAACAAGCCAGGTGTGGTGGTGCACACCTGTGATCCCATCTAGATAGGATGTGGAGGTAGGAGGCTGTTGGTCAGAGGCTGACCTGGGCAATAGCTCAAGATCCTATTTGAAAAATAAACTAAAGCAAAAAGGGCTAGAGCCATGGCTCTAGTGGTAGAACATTTGCCTGGCAAGTACAAGGCCCTAAATTTAATCCCCAATACCACACACACAAAGAAAAGGTTGCATACAATCGGGGTGTTGTGGCATACACCTGTAATTCCCGTAGATAGGAGGCTGAAGCAGTAGGATCTCAAGGCTAGCCTGGGCTACATGACCCATCCCCTCACCTCCCCCCAAAAAAGAGTGTCTCAAAAGATTACACTGTATGCTATTTATATAACTTTTTTTCTTTTCTTGTTTTTTTTTTTTTTTTTGTGGTACTGGGACTTGAACTCAGGGTCTTCACCTTGAGTCACACCACCAGCCCTTTTTTGTGATGGGATTTTTTGGAGACAGGGTCTCATGAACTATCTGCCTGGGCTGGCTTCAGACCTTGATCTTCCAGATCTCTGCCTCCTGAGTAGCTGAGTAGCTAGAATTACAGGTGTGAGCCACCGGCACCCGGTTTATATAATTCTTGACATGACAGAACCGTGCCCGTGGGAACAGGAGTGAGGGAGGAGACAGGGCAACCATGAAAGATGTTACATAAAAATCACAAGTCCAGTGCTTTGAACTTTGCTCCTGCACAGCCCAAAATCAAAATGGAGTCACTCTTGCTAAAGGTCCACATCCCTGACCTGAAATTAAACTGTTTATCTAGCGTCCCCAGAATTTGGGATTAGAGTTAACAGCCAAATTTCCAGACAGGCCAGTGAAAATGGACAGCCCCCTTGCTTTGATCCTGACCCAAAAGAAGTGACCTGAAGTGACTGGATGCCAGCAAATGCCAGCACTTCATACCCTTGTCTCCCCATCCTGCCTTACAAGGGAAGCAACTTTGAGATGACAAATCGACTTTTTTTTTTATTTCAGCTTCCTCCAGCCCCTCCTCTTTCCATGAAGCCAGACCTCCTCTGCTCCAGTCATCAGAACATTTATTCTGTCTTACAGAATAACGTGTTCCTGATTCTAGAACTGAAAGTCAGGCTGATTAAGTTCCTTGACTGGGGACTGGGGTTGAGTGTGGTCAGCCTTGGGCTCTATTTTTGTTTGGAGGAGACTGGTTATGTTGTCCAGACTGGTCTCGAACTCCTGGGCTCAACTGATGCGCCTGCCTCAGCCTCTGGACTACAAGTGTGCACCACCTTGCCCTGTGAGGCGCTAGGCTCAACCCCCATCAACCCTCCTCTCCCTGAAAAAAAGATACTTCAACTGGATTGCTGTAATGTCATCCTTTGCGACATTGTAGCACAAACATGTTACAGTGTTCTATGCCTTGGCTGCTCAGGATAAAATTGCACAGAACCAAATCATACACGCTTGCAAATGAGCACGTGGGAAAGAGTGGACTCTGATGAAGGCTGGTGAATTATATCAATGATGACTTCTGGGTACAATACTGCTGTTGGGGAACACTGGGTGGAAGGTAGCTGGGATCTCTTGTATCATTTCTTTTTTTGGGGGGACTGGGATTTGAACTCAGGGCTTTGCACTTGCAAAGCACACATTCTACCACTTGAGCCACTCCTCTAGTCCATTTCACTCTGGTTACTTGGGAGTAACTATTTGCCTGGGCTGGCCTCGAACTGCAACCCTCCCGTTCTCAGCCTCCCAAACAGCTAGGATTACAGGCATGAGCCATGGTGCCTGGCTACTTGTATCATTTCTTAAACATGTGAATCTACAGTTGTCACAAAATTTAAGTCAGTCATAGTGAGGAATGGCTTTCTTTTTATTTTATTTTCTTTCTTTCTTTTTTCTTTTGTAATACTGGGGGTTGGACTCAGTGTCTAGTGCTCTACCATTTGTGCCATGCCCCCTGTCTTTTTGCTTTTAGTTTGTTTTTCAGATAGGGTCTCCCCAGGGCTGGCTTAGGACTGCAATCTTCCTCCAACTCTGAAGTAGCAGGGATTATAGATAGGCACTACCATGCTCAGTCTTTAAGACTGTCTTCTTAAAAAACTGACACCACCAACTGGAGCCACAGGAATGCTGTGCACTGCTAGAGTGAATATAAAAGTGCTACCTACAACCCATAGAACCACATACGAAAAAGTGGATTGCAGTAGAGGTAAATTAAACCTCTGATTTTTAAAATTAAGGAAATAATGAAGCTGAATATGGTCGTTCATGTCTGTAATCCCAGCACTTAGGAGGCTGAGGTAGGAGGATCACGAGTTTAAGGCCAGCCTTAGTTACATAGCAAGTTCGAGGCCAGCCTGGGCTACATAGCCAGCCAGACCCTGTCTCAAAATACCAAGGGCTGGGGATGTGGCTGAATGGTAGAATGTGTGCCTGGCATGTGCAAAGCCCTAGATTCAATGTCCAGCACCAAAAGAAAAAAGATGAGATAGTTTACCTTACCATAACTTCACACCAATTTATACAGGAAGATTATATGTGTGATTCAATGCAAAATGCTCAAAGATAAAAATGTACATTAGTTAGTTCTCTTTTAAAGAATATCCTCCGGCTGGCAGACTGGCTCAAGTGGGAGAGAGCCTGCCTAGCAAATGTGAGGCCCTGAGTTCAAATCCCATTGCCACCAAAAAAAAGAACATTCTCTAACAAAATTCCTTAGGCGTTGTTTTAAACAACTTAGGCATTACAAGTAACTATAGCTTTTTAAAATAATGTTACTGTACAGTCAGAAGTACATTTCTTTGAATGGAAAAATTAAAACAGTCTGAAGCAAAGATGGCCAGATGTTAGGGTACATTGCTTCAGTTGGAGGAACTGTGGGTGTTTTCAGCATGGTGCTTGGTACACCTCCCTGGTCTCCCCCACCCTTGGATTAGATTAGATACGTTATGCAGAGTGCCTGGCACTAATTGTTCAAACTGTCTCAGCTTCCCCTCCCCCATGCTGCAGGTCCAGCCTGCTGGTCCCTTCTCCACCTGGTGTCACCCATGTACTCTTTCTCTCCCCGCCCCCCAAACCAGGCCAGGGGTTCCATGAAACATGGCTAGGGTGACCCCATCGCCATTGTAGCATCGTAGGCTCCCTGGAGTGAATGACTCTGCCCAGGGCTTAGCAAACAGTTAGTGCCCAACTATTGCCATTATTATTATTGTTGTTGCTTATGTTATCGCTGTGCTAGGATGGAACCCAGGACCTTGCACAAGCTAGGCAAGTGCTCTAGCACCCGGCCACACCCCCAGCCCTAATAATTATTCTTTGGAGCAGTGACTGAGCAGACAGGCACATTAGTGACACCTAATGTCACCCAGCCAAGAAGAGGCTTGGGCCACCGAGACAGCAAAACATTGACTAGGGAACCGTGTCCTGTCCACTGCCCCCACAGATTTAGATGGAAGGTCGGCACTCCCTCCTGCCCTCCACCTCAGAGGTGGATCCCGGCTGCAGCCAGGCAATGGAATGTTTTGTCGTTGGTCGCCCAGGCAACCAGGGCCTGCTTGGCCACTGGCTTCTGAGTGTCCCAGGTTCTCATGCTGCCGCACCCCCTAAGGCTCCAGAAGGTGCTGAGCTCAGGCAGGTGGAGGAGTCAACTGTAGGAGATGGCGGTCCCCTGGGAGGAGTATTTCCTGCTGACCTTGCAAGAGAAACTGCCTTTGTGAGCGGGGGCGGGGGGGCAGGGGGGTGTTACAGGGGAGGGTGGGAAGGAGCTGGGGAGCCGTGGGAGGGCCCAGCCCTTCTCCCCAGCTCCTGGATCCCCGCCTTTGGGTAGTTCCACCTGGGGGTGGAAGAAAGGGCCAGTGACTTCTGCAATGTCTCAGGGCTGTCGTTAGGAACAAGCGGGCCACAGCTCAGTTCTCCCACGGTTCTTCCTCCTCACCCTGGCTGGCACAGGACAGAGGTGCCACCATGTGAACCAGGCATGTGAGCCCCCCCTCACTAGGTGCATTTTAGGGACAAATGGAGGAAATTTGCTCTGTGCCTGGGTTACATTGGGCAGTGTGACCACCGGTCCTGACCTCAGTCTCAGCATCTATAAAACAGAGGAGGGGTTCTCTTAGTCTATTCCTTCTGCTGCCCCTCTCCTCCTAGGAGAGCCGGACTCCTGGAAGCCAGCTGCTCCTGGACAGCCCCCTACAGAGGTCTAACACATGTCTCTTTGCTTGGCCAGGCCAGGGAACTAGTGTCCCCCACCCCACCTGCTCATTCATAGCTTTTGCTCAAAGCAACATGCTTCCAGCTGCTTAGATCATCTTTCCTTTCTCACCCCGCCACCCCTCCACCAACTCTACTCTCAAATTGCATCTAGAACAGCCCCCTCTTCCCCTCCTCTGACTCCCACGCTGATGAGAACCACTTGTCTCTGGAACATCCTACACGCTGCGGCCCCACCACTGGGGTTCTGCAGCTAGGCATTGAGCTTCTGCATGGCCCTTGCTCCTCCCAGCAACCAGGGGGGTTTCTCCTCTGCTCAAAAGCCTCCTGTGGCTCCCATCTCATTCAAGGTCAAGGCCAAAGTCCTCCCTTGCCACAGCCCACCACAGTCTGACCCTCAGTTTCTCTACCTTCAGTTTCCATCTCTTGGCTAACTTCTTCCTTCCCTCCTCTCCAGCCATGGGGACCTCTGCTGCTCCTTCAACACTCCCAGCTCTTTCCCTGGGGACTTGACATTGGCTGTTCCCGGAGGTATCCACATAGCTCACTCCTGCTCTTCTCCCAGGGCTCTGTTGCAATGTCACCCCCTCAGACAGACTTTCTGTCTCTATGGAAAGTTTCCTTCAGTCTGCTTAATTTTTCATCTTAGCTGTAGTGGTACACGCCTGAAATCTCAACACTCAGATGGCTAAGACAGGAGGATTGAGAGTTCAAGGCCAGCCTGGACTACATAGAGAAATGTTTTCAAATATATATATATATATATTTTGGACTGGCTTTAGTGGTAGAACTTGCCTAGCAAGCACAAAGCCCTGAGCTCAAATTCCAGTATCAAACACACACACACACACACACACACACACACACATACACACACACACACACACAACATTGCTTATTGTTATTTATTAGCTTGGTTTTCTGGTCCCCAGCAGAACTCCTTCTTCTGGGGACAGACCTTTTTGTCTGTCTTCCTCACAGCTGCACTCTCAGTGCCTAGAACAGTGCCTGACACAGAGGAGGTGCTCAGTAAAACTTGTTGAATGAATGAAGACTTCCAAAGGCTTCTGGGGCCATTCCAGCCACTAGTGGGGCGTTCCAGGCCCTGACTCCTGATCCCTTCTCCCCATCTTCCCTCGAGCTCCTCCAGGCAGCCATCAGAGCAGGATGTGGATCACATTCCCCCACTGCTGCGTCTCCTGGAGAAAAGACAAGAGCTGGCGGATGCTGACCGGTGCCTGAAGGCCCAGAAGGAGGTAAGCTCTGTGACCAGACAACCAATAGTGTGAGCAGGGGATGGGAAGTCATGGAGCCAGCTTCTTAGTGACAGGGGCTGAGTCTAGTCATGTTACCACTCTGAGATTTGACTTCCTCATCTGTCAAATAGGGATGGAAGGAGGCCAGTTGCTGGTGCAATAAATCGGTGTGTATTGAGCACGTGCTATGTGCAGGCACTGAATTAGTGCCTGTCCTCATGGGACTCACTCTAGAGAGAAAAACAAACAACTGTCCACGTGGTGATAGCTCTGAAGGGGAACACTAGGCAGGGGCAGTGGGAGTCCAGAGGAAGCCCTGCCTCTGCATGGGGTGGTCAAGAAGGGCTTCCTAGAGGAAGTGAGGTCTTAGGGCTCACAAAAAAGCAAGTAGGCTTATCTAGCAAAGGGATGTGGGATGAGGAGGAAGAAACAGGCAGAGGGCACAGGGGAGTCAAATGGCTAGAGGAGAGAGGGGTGAGATGAGGCTGGAAGGTAGGGCATTTGGGCTTCTCTCTGGGGCGATGGGAGCCATGGACGAATTTGAGCAGAAGAGCAGCCCAGAGCAAGGCCAATGGCTGGAGGGGTTAAGGGTGAAGCCTAGCCACACGCAGACACCCCAATCCTCACCCCCAGGAGTTCCATACCACCATGGCCGCTCTGAAACAGCGCTGGGAAGAGCTGGGGCAGAAAGAGCAGGATCTAAAGGGCTCCTTCGTGCGCTTTAACAAGTTTTTGCAGGTCGGTGGAGTTTGCTGGTGGGAGGCGGGTCACAGGACCGATACTTTACCGCCCTATAGGGACCCTATAGGGGCCAGACGCGCCCATCAGTGAAAGAAGTGGGCTGGATACTAGACACGGAGTGGCAGGAGCGGGGAGGAGAGAGGGGCCCACATCTGAGATTCTGGTTGAACTTGATCCACTGCCCAGGAGGCCGAGGCCCGGCGCGGCCGCGCGCTGCGGAGGGCGGCGGAGGCGCGGCACCGCGCAGGCCGCCAAGAGGCCGAGGCGCAGCGGCTGCGCGCACAGCTGGAGGAGCTGCGGCGGGAGCTCGCGCGGCTGCAGCTCAGGGTGCAGCGCCTGGAGCCGTGCACGCGCCTGCTGGAGCGCGTGCTGGAGCAGCGGCCCGAGGTGAGCCCCGCGCGCGGCTGGCGACTCAGCCTTGGTCTGGATGGCTTTGGTCGGGCGCACTACTGGAGCGCCGACTGCATATGCAAGAACCATCTCCTAGTGAGTGCTCACTGCATGTCAGGGATATGCTTTGTTCTTCTTGAACTCAGGGCCTCAGCTTGCGAGGCAGGCGCTCTACCACTTGAGCCAGGTCGCCAGCCCTTTTTTGTGATGGGACATTTTTGAGATAGGGTCTTGCAAACTATTTGCCCAGGCTGGCTTCGAACCTTGATCCTCCTGATCTCTGCCTCCTGAGTAGCTAGGATTACAGGCGTGAACCGCCTGCCCCCAGCTACATGCTTTGTTCCTGGATCATCCCTATAATCCTGTGACGTGGGTCACAGATGAGGACACTGACCTTTCAGGAAACTCTCAAGGCCACTAGACAAGTGCGTGTGTGTGTGGGGGGGGTGTCAGAAACCAAATAGTAATTGAGTCATGTAGGAGTGGCTCAAGCGGTAGAGTGCCTTCTTTGCACTGAGTTCAAACCCCAAACCCGCCAAAAAAAAAAAAAGAAAAAGGGAAGGAAGGAAGGAAGGGTAACTGAATGAATCTTGATGGTGGAGGCGGGAAAGGGTGTGAGTACAGTTCAAGTTCCAGATCTTGGGGGCTCCAGCTGTTCCCACTTCTGCGGGTCGTAGCTGCAGGTGATGTCCCCAATCCATAACTGGGCAGAGGAGTCGCCAGAGGAGTGTCGACTGGGAGGGGAGGGGAGGAGACCGCAGGCTACGTGAGTCCTCCACCCCAGTTCCAGGAGATCCCCGAGCTAGTGGCGCGCTTCGACGGCCTGGTGGACACGCAGGCGGCGCTAAGGCTCACGCAGCGGGAGCGGCTGGCAGAGCTGGAGGCGGCGCGCGCGCGGCTACAGCTGGTGCAGGATGCGGGACAGGACGAGCTGCTGCGGTACAGCCAGAGGCGGGCGCAGCTGCAGGAGCAGCTGGAGGCGGCGCGGGAGCGCAAGCTGCAGTGGGTACGGCGGGTGCGGGCACGCACCCCAGCCTCCCCGCGGCGCCCAGGGTGCCAGGGCTGGCGAGGACACACGCGCCGAGCTTCCCTGGTTGGGGCTGCGCTGGGGAGGGGGCAGGCAGGCGTCAGAGCACCATAGCGTCACCGTATCAGCCACGCGGACAGTGCCTGTGTCCCTCCCCCTGAGGGCACCTGTGTGCCCCTGATGGGGATGGGAATGCAGGGCGCGGGGCGCGTGTTCTGCAGGAATCCAAGTGGATTCAAATCCAAAACACCGCGGCGGAGAAGACCCTGCTTCTGGGACGTACTCGGATGTCAGCGCTCAACCTGTTCCAGCTAGTGTGCCTGCACCAGAGGCAGCCGCCCAACCTTGACATCGAGGACACCGAGGGGCAGCTGGAGCAGGTGAAGTGGCCCTTTATGTCACCTCTAGCGACAACTTCCCTAGGTTAAGCGTAACCCTCTTTGGTGACAGCCCGTGGTCCATCACTGCCCAAGCGCCCTGCCTGGGAGTCCTGGTTTCCCCTAGACTCTGACCTTGACCTGCTATGGGGCCAGACAAAAGCTGAGACTTCTGCGTCCCAGTGCGCTCTCTCGTGTAGAACTGCAGTGTGGGTACTGACCAATGGACCCTGCAGGGTTATTCAGAGCCTGAGTCCCTCCTTTCTCCCAGGACCTAGAAGGTGGACACTCGATTTTAATTCATGTCTGATCCTGTGCACCAACTACACCTGGTTTCTGCATGCAAGTTTACACATGATGAGGGAGGGGCAGACTCCAGACACTTCTTTCTAGTAGGTGCCCAAAGCTTGGCCTGAAAGTGAAAAGTGCCAGCTTTTTTTTCCCTCCACCCCACCCCACTCCTGTACTGCACCCAGTGGCCAGGGCGGTAACCAGGCATCAGGAAATGGCTCACTAAGTTTGACTTGGTGCTACTTCGTGGTTAGATTCATTGAGACCAATGTTCTCCCAAGAGTGGCCCTGGCCCCCTGTGGTACACACAACACTCTAGGAGGGACAAAGGCTCATGCAAACAGAACAGTTAATCCCTTTTCAATCAGCCCTCAGCTCCTATCAAGGCAGAAGGCTTAGGCCCAAGTGGTGGTGCACACCTATAATCCAGAACTTGGAGGGCTGAGGGAGATCACCAGTTCCAGACCAGCCTGGGCTATAGAGGAAGGCTCAGTGGAGGATGCTATGCCCTTTAAAGGGTCCTCTGTCTCCCTGAGACTGAGGCAGGCAGCAGCAGGGGCTGGCCCAGTTACATGGCCTCACTCATTTCCTTACTCTTTGTCTACTTACCCTGGCTATAACAGCGTAATTGATTTTCCTCCATCTTTGGTGGATACGGTTTTCTTCTCAGACACTTACTAAGTGGTTAACACCAAGGGGAGCCCACGGATGACTGTGTGTTTGCCATCACGTTCTACTTCCTGGCCGTGGGTCTAGGGGGTTTCATTAAGTTCATACAACTGTTAATTAAATCAAAATAGGACCAGAGATGTAAGTCACTGGTAAAGTACCCGCTAATGTGCACAAGGCCTTGGGTTTGATCACCAGCACAAGAGGGAGAGGGAGAGAGAGAGAGAGACACCATGGAGATAAGCAGGTTATCAACCAACCAAAGTGTGTACCTGACCCAACAGAAAGTGTGCACTGAAGTAGGTGGGGTGTTGATGGGCACAGGAGAAGCAGCTGGAAAACTGGCAGTGTCTCTGGTTAGGAACCATTTGGGCCCGATGTGGTGGTACACACCTGTCATCTCAGCATTTGGGTGGCTGAGGCAGGATCAGAGTTCCAGGCCATTCTGGGCTACATGTGAAGACCCTGTCTCGATAAACGAAGAACCATTTGGGAGGCTCAGCATGATCTGATCCTGAACAGTTTGGGATCACCATTGCTGCCTCTGGGGGGCACTGCCTCTACTGCCCCTGTAATGGCACCTCCAGCCCCTGCCCCTGTCCGGCAGCCTCCCTTGTTAAGTAGGAGCTGACTGTTGGTCAGGGGCCAGGATGTGACCTGGCTGCGTTGGGTCCCCAGGTGAAGCTATTCATCCTAGACCTCTCTGCCATCCTGGCCAGCCTTCCTCAGGCCAAGCCCGCAGCTGCCACCTCCTGGCCCAGATCTAGGTAAGCAATTCAGGGGAGCCCTGAGGGACCATGGGGTATGGGATGAGTGGCTCTGTGACCTTGGTTTCTCTTGGTAAGGTGGGAACTGTATCTGTTTATGCTGCTGAGGGGCTTACAGAGTCATATAACAGGCACTCAATAAATGCAGGCCCCAGAGACAATGTGTCCTGCATCCCACCTACCACATGGCCTGGGACAGGGCACTCCCTCACAGAGTGGCTGAGGTGCAAGCTAAGTACAGGAAGGGTACACGGTTAACTGCAGATGGACGTTTGGTATACACAGCAGGAAACCCCAACCAGCAAGAGGGCCACCCAGCAGCAGCCTGTGCTCCCCAGGGCCAGCCGTGGTGGCCTCTGCTAGGGGAGGTCCCCAGCCTGAGGCACCAACTGCTGGAGGCCACCCTTGACCTTCTCAGAGCCTGAAACAGGGAGTGGGATGCAGGTCACAGGAGGCAGGACAGCTCTGACTCTAGGTTTGGAGGCGAAGTGTTGACCTCTGTGCAGCCAGAGGGAAGCAGCTGTGCCCTCTGACCCCGGCCCAGGACTCCACCTCCTCCACAGCCCATCCCCTGTCCTGAGCCCCGCTTAGATGAATGCCTCCTCTCTTAGCCTTGTTTTCCTGTGTGCTCAGTGGGGACCCAGGTGGGACCAGGCAGGGCAGCTCACCTGCTCTCAATTCAAGTGCCGGTTTCCCTACCAGGGTCTCCCCCTTCCAACTGCCCCAATAAACTGTACTCATGGTCCACCAGACATACTCAATAAAGGTTTATTACATTAAAACCCACCAGTGAACCTGAAGCACTCAGGGCTCAGACCCATGTAGCCATGACCTCTGAACTCTGAACACATGGAAGCGGCAGGCAGGTCTGGGCCTGCCTTCTTTGCTGGCAAACTCCTACACACCCTCCAACACCCTTCTCAAACGTCTCGGTTGCGGCAGAGGCAGATGCTGCCTTCAGTGGCCATGTGGCATTCCTTTTCATGGACTCTGGCTTCTGCAGTAGTGTATGGGGAAATGGACACCAATGTCCACACTGGGACAAGACAAAGCCAGAGCCCCAGGGCTGGGTCCTTACATCCTCTTCCTCATCTTGCCCTTCTTGGAGGGGGCGCCCCGGCCGAAGGCGCCCTGCCGCAGCTCCTGGGCCCGGCGGCGGTTGCGGGCAGAGAGTTGCTTGAGGCCCCCGCGCTGCAGGAAGCGCATTTTCTGGGTCCGGCGCCGCTGCTTCAAGATCTGCTGCTTGGTCTTGAGCTCAGATCGCACATGGCCTGCTGGGGCGCCGGCAGGAGCTTAACAAGGAGAAAGGAAAAGATGCAGAAAAGACCGTCAGAGCAAGCCAGGGGGCAAGAGACCGTGTGAAAAAGCAAGGTGCTGCCCGGCCACAGGCAGACTTGGAGGAACCCTGCTCCAGGGAACCTCGGGCTACAGGACACAGGGATGGGGCAGATAAGCCACCCAAAGGAGCCCCAGGACAGGGTCCCAAGTTTCTTTCTTCCAGGAGAGGCCGCAGTTGGGAGGTGGCAGGCAGCTAAGTGACCCCAGTTCAGTCACTACCCTCATGAGCTGCCTCAGTTTCCCCACCTATAAAATGGCATTCTTCATCTTTTAGTGCCCCAGGCCATGTGGCATGTCCACACCAGCAAGTGGGAGCCCCTCCCTGTCGACAAGCTCATCTACAGAGCTCGAGGACGGAAACGCTGGAGGGGCCAGGCCGCAGACCCCTCTGTTCAGAGCAGGTCCCAGGGCATGAGCCAGGTGGACAGGCAGTGGCCTTCTGCCCTTCAGGACTGACTGGGGCTGAGCACAAGGGGGTCCACCAGGCCAGTGTGGTCACCAAGCACGGGCTAGCAGAGCAAGCTGGCTCCCAAACCCACCTTAGTCTGAGCAGCCAGGTCAGAGACCAAGCCCAGTGACCACATGGTACTGTCAGCCCATTTTCAGGGAGGCCCTCCTCACCCTCCTCGGACCAAGCTGCCTCTGCCTGACAGCTTCTGTAGACACGTCTTCTGCCATGTGGCTACAGAGACACCAGCCAAGCACAACCAGAGTCTCCTCCCCTCCCTCCTGCCAGGGGAGCTCGCACAACCGCGGTGTCACAGTTAAAAATGGTCGGACACCAGCCCTGGCGCGACACTCCACCTCCCTGGGTTAGGGGACACTGATCAGCTGCCCTAGTTACCATGGCTACCCCAGTTACTATGGTTACCTCGCTGTTCCACCAGTGCCTGTCTGGCCAGGACAAGTGCACCGCAGGACAGGGCATGGGTGATTTTTACAACCACCGCCTGTGGCGGATGTGGGTGTGGTCTGTGAATCGGTAAAGAGGGGGATCCAGAACTTTGACAACGCCCACCCCATCGGACCCAGCTCTGGGACTGTGCACAGCCCCTGCACCTCTCTGTGCCTTGGTTTCCCCTAGCTGACCAGACCCTCTCTGCCCATTTCACACCCTGGCTCTCACCTTGGCCACGCCCTTGCCTGCCACTTCTTCGCATAGGGCCGCGCTGGCCAGACGTCCCTTCTTCCTCTGAGTCCCGATCATCAATTTTCTGTTTCTGCTTCCACTTCTGGTAGCTGGGAAGCATCGTCAAGGAAGCTCCAGGAGGCAACTCCTGGGCCAGGCCCCGCCCCCTGGATCCCACTCCACCTGTAGGAGCTGCCGCTGAGGAAGCCGCCCCGCCCCACCCGGCCCCGCCCCCTGGATCCTACTCCACTTATAGGAGATGCTGCTGAGGAAGCCGCCCCGCCCCACCCGGCCCCGCCCCGTTGGATACAGGTCCCGCTTGTAGGAGCTGCTGATGTAGCGGCCACTCTCAGTTTTGATCTTCTTCTTGTCCTCTTGTCCCGATTGTCCCACAAACCGCTTTTTCTTCCGGTCCCTGCGGGAGAGGGGGAGGCCTGGGGTGATCAGCTTCCCCTTAGGGCCTATTTCCTTTCCTGACCCTTGCATGGAAGAGCAGTGCAGCCAACCCTGGCATGCAGCAGGTGCTTAATGAAGGCCTGTTCCCTGCCCCTCCCACCTTCCCCTGGCAGTCTAGGTCTTCAAAGGGAGTCTGGGGGTCAGGGATAAAGCCCACTGGAGGGGCCGATCCCCACAGCACTTCTCTGCTGGGGATGTCCCATCAGCGTACTCACGAACCTGCCCAGAAAGACCAGTCCACAAAAATGACAGACAGGGTCAAGATCTCCGTCTTGACCAAATCAAGGGGGCAGACGAGCAAGGGAGTCCTCATGCTGTGAGTGATGGCAGATGGACAGGCCTCGCTCACTCACTCTCTCACTCACCACTTGAGCTGCTGCCGGCCTCTGGTCAGGTTTTGCGCCTCGTCCCCCATCAGGTCCAGGACGGCACCAGCCACCTGCTGCTCAAAGGCTCCCCCGGCCCCACCGACACTCAGGCTGCAGAGGGAAGGTGGAGAGAGGACGGGGTTGATGGAGGCCCACAAGGTCCCACCTGTCCCACCCAGGCCCTGCCACTTACCCCCGCTCACTGTCAAAGTCCTTGGGCCGGTAGGGCACGTAGAACTCCTGGTCCCGCTGCCAGACCTCCTCCCTCCGCCTCTTGGCTCCTTTGTCAGGTCCTGGCCTCTGCCGCTTCTGGCCCACGACCTCTGTGAAGACATCCTGACAGACAGAGGCCATTATCACCCTGTCGCCCCTGGGAACCCACCTGGCTTCTCATACCCACCAGCCCAGGCACAGGTGAGGGGCTAGTGCTCCCCCAAACTTTTAGGCCTGGATTTCTGTTCATTAGTTGGGTGACAGAACTCCTGAGTGATTCTGTGCACAAGCCCAGCCCCTGCCCTGGAGCCCAGCAGAGGCAGGACAGGTGGGATCCAACATCAGATACCAAGTGCTGTGGTCCCAGTTCCTACCCTACTGAGTGACCGAGGCGAGGAGCTGCCCCTCTGGACCTGGCTCGCTCTACACAACACGGATGTGCCCAGGGGCTTTCAGCTGTGCTTTGTGGCTATGATCCCTGTGTCCAAATGAGACGACCACCGGAGGACTGAGACACTGCATGGTCCTCCAGCCCAGCCTTCAGGAGAGGCTGAGGGTCAGATGCTGCCTGGACCTCAGGCTGGGACTGACCAGGATGCAGCTAAGACCGCCAGCACCCATGGCATCCTACACACGCTGATATGGGTGGGCAGTGCCCCAGCCACTCAAAAAGGAATTCTACAGGTGGTGGCGAGAGCCCCCCTCAGCCCACAGGGGCTGTCCAGCTCGTCCAACTCCTGGGCTTGGAGATCATATGTGTGTGACACCCAAGCCCCACTGAGAATGTGTCATACGGTGCTGGTTCCTGGGTTTGAGGGGGTGGCAGATATACCATGCCCCGTTCTGCAGATAGGGAAGCTGAGGCTCAGCTTCCACAGACAGCAGAGGGGGACTTGAACCACTGCACCTGCCATGGACTGCTCTGAGCCCAGCAGACAGCCCCAAGGGCTGCTGGACCTAACCCCCTGCAGGCTCGCACCTCCCTCTCCCACACCTCCACACTCTCTCCAGCATTCTCCTCCTCCTCCTCCTCTTCAGGCCGCTTCTTCTGTGGAGCCAGGCTGCCTGGGGCAGGGCCAGCCAGACCTTCCTGTCGCTTCTGCCGCCCCTGTTGGAAGCTGGCGATGGCTTTACGGTCCTTTTGCCGCTTGGCACGCATCATCTGGCTGCTTGGGTCCCGGCTGGAGGCGTTGATCTCAAAGATGGTCTGAAGAGGGGATACCCGAACCTGTTACCCCCAGCCCTCCCCTCACCAGCTGGGTGAGCCCTCTCTGGCCTTGCTCCCCAATCTTCTCCACTGCAGGAGGCGCAAACCCTTGTTATCTGCATTTCACAATTAAAGAGGGAGGCCAAAAGAGGATAAGCAACTTGCCTGAGGTCACACAGTTAGGAAAAGCCAGAGATTGCATTTCAACCCAAGTCCCCTTGGCTTTGAAACCAGTGCTCCTAACCAGGACACCCTCTAGTTCCTTTCTGCTACAGGCTGCTCCTTGCTTTTGTGTACTCTATTCCACATGAACAAGATGGGGTGCCCTGTGGGGGTGAAGAGGTGGGGGAGGGAGAAGAGGCTGCGGACAACCAAGGGCACATTCTGCCCTGTGAGAACCTTGCTCTAACCGTACAGTGGCGGACCTGCTGTGGACCTCAGGGAGGCTCCAGGACAAGGGGGTCTAGAGACACAACAGAGGCAGGTGCAGCTGAGCAGCTGTGAGCTCAGAGGAGTCCCTGTGGGGCCCCTGGGGTCATGGCAGTGAGCCCTGGCACTGTAGTTTAGCTGCCCCGAGGCCACTCACTGTCCGAGCACGGTAGTTCTTAATGCTGTCCACAAGCCGCAGCCGCTGCAGCTCCGCCTCTTCAAATCTTGAGCCTGGCAGGAGAGAGGTGGGAAGAAGGTGAGAGGGTGGCCTGGGTTCTGTGGGTCCCACCTACCACCCTACCACCCGCCGTCCCAGCCTGGGTGGGACTCACTGAAGAGGGGGTGCAGGCCTAGACTGGCCAGGTCCAGCTCCTTGGCTCTCTTGATGGACTCGGGCGAGGGCGCCGGCCGGGAGCGCACGTACTGCTGCTGTGCATTGCCGGCCACGCGGCCCAGGCCCTGTAGCTCCAGCGACACCTCCAGTGTGTTCCGCAGCCCACCATCCTCGTCATCCACCACGCTCTGCGGCACGCGGCCCAGCACCCCATCCACACCAACAGCACCTGCCGGTCATGGGCACAGTGAGGGCTTTCTGCCAGCCCCTGGCCCGGTCCCCTGCTAAAGCCCCGAACCTCAGAACAACAGCTACAAACTTGAGTGGAAAAGAAGGCAGCACTTACAGAGCAGCGACCCCAAATGCATCAGACAGGGCAACACTACTGCGCCGGCCGGCCACTCACTCCTTCATCTCCCACGACATAGGCCGGGATGGGGCGCTTCTCCTGGGGTTGGGTCCAACCCACCTTCCCCTGAAGCCAGGGCAGGGCTGCACCCCGTTCACAGCTATGTCCCCCACCTGTACATGTGGCAGGGCCCCCAGCCCTGGTCCCACCTTGGCTTACCTGGGGTTTCCTCATGCGGTCGGGCGAGGGTAAGGGATCGGCCCAGGAACAGGTGCAGGTCCAGCAGATAGGGGACCTCGTCTGGTGCCACCAAGGAGTAGGCTGTGCCACTTCGGCCAGCCCGGGCCACACGGCCTGCAGAAGGAAGTGGTTAAAACTCAGGAAAGAACCAGGCTGGAGGTGTGGTTTGGTGGTGAGTGCTTGCCTACACGCAGGAGGCCCTGGGTACCATTCCCAGTGCCACTAAAAAGAAAAAAAAAAAAAGAAAGATGAAGGGAAGTCAAAGGCAGAGACAGTGGGGCTGACATCCTGGCTTGATGGAGCAGGGGGGCAGGAGACCCTACATGGAGCCCATGGGACAGAACAGCTGGTCTCCTTACCCACGCGGTGCAGGAAGAGCTTGCCCTTGGCGGGGAAGCTGTAGTTGATGACATTGTCCAGCAGCGGGATGTCCAGGCCACGGGCAGCCAGGTCGGTCACGATGAGGGCAGAGCACTTGCCGTGCGTGAACCTGGCGAGGTTGATCTTGCGGGCCGTCTGGTCCAGGGCACTGTAGATGTGGGTGCAGCTCACCCGCTGTGCCGCCAGCAGCTGTGCGAAGCAAAGGCAGAAGGGAGCTGAGAGGACGCTGCAGGAGCCACGGTGGGAGGCCGGGCCAAGGCAGGCTGCTGTGCACAGGTGGAACCAAGAGCCCTGGTACCTGGCACCCCTGGATCTAATCCCAGCTCTGCCCGCTGGCCCCATTTTGTACCTTCTTCAGTATCAGTGGGGCTTATGTCATCTTCCAGGTCTCTGTAGGATTGTCTGAGTGTCAAAGTAGACGTCATGTGCAGAGGGTTCAGCTCCCTTAAGGAGGTTGCAAATGCCAGCCTCATCCTGACTCTGTCACTGACAAGCTGTGTGACCTTGGGCAAGTTACCAAACCTCTCTGTGCCTCACCTTCCTCATGTGTAGCGAGGGGAGAATCATTGCTCCTCCATAGCTTTAAGTATTAAGTGAGTTAACATGCGCAGTGCTGGGGACAGAGCTCGGGAGACAGGAAGCGCAGGGGAGTGTTAACTGTTCTCTCAAAGTGACTATATTGGTCTTATGCACCAGTGGCCCAGCAGCTGCATGGGGACAGAGGCACTGTTAACATGCTCTGAGTGAGTGAAACCCAGGGAACCGTGTCCTCAGATCTCAGAGCCCAGGTGTGGCCTACGGGGATGCCCACACTTGCATGCAGCCGAGGCTCACAAGTGCGCCCCCATGAAAACGCACGGCGCTGCTCACATGCACCAAGGCTGCTTTACACAGCTTACTGCAGATGCATTAAGCCTTAGTTTTAAAAAGTCAAACATGACCCACTGAAAATCTGAAAAATCACAGGATAGGTCAGGACTGCCCCAGGGATTGGTGACAATGGCAGACCCAGGTAACAAATACCCCAAGTTCAAGTACCATTTTCTGATGTGCCTTTGAGATTTTCATGACAAAAGCCCCACCCAGGCCCATGTCCGCTCCGGCGCTGCCCCTGGTGGCCAAGCTTGGACGTGCACCTGAGAGTTTCCATGGAGGAGAGCCGGCAGCCTCTTCCCAGCCCTCTGTGTGCAGCCCTGCATCTGGGCCGGCTTACCTCTGTGAGGTACTCTGCATGATGCTTCGTGGCCACAAACACCACCGTCTGGTCCTGGGGCCGCACCACGTTGCGTAGCAGGTACAGCAGCACAGCAGCCTTGGTGTCTTCCCGCACCAGGAGAAAGGAGGTCTGAGGGGACACAGGTCAGGCAGTGGGCTCACAGAGTCCTTGCTGGAACTGCAGGGCTCACCTGGCCACTGGCCTGGGGAGTGGGCCAAGTGTCACCTCACCTTGAGCTGATCGTTGAGCTTGGCGTCTACATCCAGCCGAATAAGCACAGGCTCCGTGAGGCCTGCAGTGGGCCGGGGAGGCCACAGAGGAGTCACCAAGGGGCAGGACCCCGGCTCCACCCTGAGTCCAGCTCCATCCTATCCAGCTCACCTGCTCGGGCAAACTCCACCAGCATCTTGGGCAGCGTGGCAGAGAAGAGCACTGTCTGGTGGCCCCCAGGGAGGCGGCCTATGATCTCCTGAAGTTGCTCGGCAAAGCCCATTTCAAAGAGCCTGGGGGTGAGGAGTCAGGGAGTCAAGAGAGGAGCTTCCAGCCCTGGGGGTGCCGAACCCCAGTGGTCCTGGTTCCCACAACTCTACACGTGTACTGGTGTTTGCCTGGCGTGTTTCCATCACCAACCCAGCTTCATCACACAACTTCATAAACAATAATGATCCAGGATGCCTGTCCCCTTTTTTAAATAAATTCACAGTGGAATAAATGAGAGTCGCCTGGTTCTGTGCCCGGCACAGGCCTCTGTCCTCTACGAGGCTGACTCTGAGTTCTCATGTCACCCCTGGGGGAATGGATGCTGTTTTCTCCCTACTTTGTGGACCTCCATGATCTGCCCAAGTTCACAGAGACAGATCTCAACCTGCCTGGCTCTGGAGTTCATACTTGGAATGCGCTATTTTTCATCTCTTTGAAATCATGCTTTAGATATTACAAAACTGAAAGCACAAGCTTTGCTGGTGGCCCACATCCTTCCTCCTGCTCCTGGCCTCAGCAGACCTTGACTTTGCTCAGGTGGTACCTGCGCCCTCACCTGTCAGCTTCATCAAACACCACGTACTCCACGCTCTGCAGCTTCAAGTTCATCTCCACGGCCACATGCACCAACCGCCCAGGGGTAGCAATGATTCTGGAAGGGGGTACACAGGCCAGGTCACCCCATGGCGAGGGCCACTGGCCATACCGGAAGGGACCCCAGAGCATCCCAGATCTAAAAACTCACATGTCAGGATTTTCGTGCAGGGCTGCAAACTGGTCTTCCATTCTGAGGAGGAGAAGAAAGGTCAGCTCGACAGCACAGGTCTCACAGCCTCTCTTCCCTTCGCCTAACCAAATGTGCACATGTCCCCGCACTCCAACCCCAGGTATGGAACTGAGAAGTTAGCAGAGGCATTGCCTGACTAGATACAAGTTGAAACACATAAAACAATTGTACAGTTTCCCTAAAGAGTTGAGCTCAACCACAGAAACCACCTTGCTCCCTTCTGCGGCTACAAATGCCAACAAAGCTGCCTTGCCCACAGTGCCACCTAGCAGCTAACCCTGGAACTGCTAGCTTCCACTACACCAGGTTCCCTCATCTCTGGGAGCCTGTCCTTTGGGTATTAAATTATCCTCTGAAACACCCTTGGGACATCTGTGGGAGCCACAGGGAGCTAAACCCTCCGACAATCACGAGCTATAGAAATAATAAGTTACAGTACGGGCAAAAAAATTATAAAGCAAAACTCTCAGACCAGAGAGCCACTGTAGACCAAGGCCTCCTGGGAGCAGAAGGGGCCACCCTGCAAGGGGGAAGCTGTGGGGACAGGCGGCAGGAAGAGGGATTCTGAATCACTGCATCGCTCTGGGCCCATCAGTCTGTGAACAGGAATAGCATCTGCTCTCGGGAGGATGGGCTGAGCTCCTCAGGAAACTACCCATTTTGCAAATCAAGAGTGATGACAATCGTTCCATGACTTTACACAACCCAGTTCAGGCACCCGTGCCACCCAGGGTTGACCCTGGGAGCCGGGAACCTGTCTGGGCTGCAGGGCAGTGGCCCGTTATCTCCACATTGTCACCCGCTCCGTTAGTCGGCTTGAATGTGCAGAGAAGCCGCACAGGCTCAATCAACCCAATACTCTTGACACGAAGGCATGCTTGCAGGGGGTGACCAGGGACCCTTACTTGTCCCCGCCCAAGATCAGGGCTGTCTTGAGGCCAGTGAACTTGCCCAGCTGTAGAGAGAGGGAAAGAGAGACTGAGGGGGTGAGGGTGGGCAGACGCAACCTCCTTACGGCCTCTCGCCCAGCCCAGGCTGCACCCCACCCCACGCCAGGCACCTCCTTCGTGAACTTCATGGTCTGCAAGGCCAGCTCCCGGGTAGGCGAGAGGATGAGGGCCCGAGCCCCCGTCTGGGCACTGCGGGCCTTGAGACGCTCGAACATGGGAAGGAGGAAGCAGGCCGTCTTGCCACTGCCCGTCCGCGCCATAGCCACCACGTCCTTGCCGTCCAGGACCGCGGGGATGGCCTGCAGGACATGGGTGAGGAGCGGGGTCAGCAGCACAGCTGGGAGTGGGGGAGCCAGGCCATCCTGGTGAACAGGTAGACCATTGGCTGGCCTGACATGTCCTGGAATACCTTCTGCCCTTTCCTGGGATGGACCAGATGCTACTTCCTGCCCTAGTCCCTCCTCCAGACCTAAGAAACATCTCCCACCCAGTGGAATATCTAAGGGTGACAAATATGAGCCCTGGTCATCACGGGGTGCCTAGAGGCCACCTGAGTGGGGCCCGGCAGCCAGGGGAAGGCTTGACTGGCAGACAGAACCAAGACAGAACCAAGGTCAAGTCTCTGCTGTGCAATTTTCTGCACCTGTGAAGTGGGTAAGCTACATGGAGCCCCAGCCACAGTGAAGGGAACAAGGGGTGGCTGTCACAAGGCAACAGGAGGGCTGAGCCCCTCACCTTCCTCTGGATGGGCGTCGGCACCTTGTAGCCCTTCTTCATGACGCCTTTGAACACAGGGTAGCTCAGTCCTGGGAGAGATGTAGGAAAGGTCAGGGGCCACAATGGCACCACAGAACCATTACAGGACAAGTGAGCCTGTTGTCCACAAACAGCAAGAGAAAAGAATGGCAGTGCGGGACTGCAAGATGAAAGGAGGCTTAAGACAGAGAGCTAGACCGTGGGCTATGAACCTTGTTGGGTTCTGACTGGGACACACACGTTTTTGTTCCTTGTTTTGGTTTTTTTGAGATAGTTTCACTATGTAGCTCAGGATGGCCTTGAATTTATGATCCTCCTGCTTCTACCTCCTGAGTGCTGGGATTGCAGCATGCACCACTAGCCCCGCTCTGAACACTCAATGTCCTAAGACAGTGAGGTCTCTGAATGACAATGAGGAATAGTCACTGAGTCACTGTTTCAGGCCGGTGAGGTGCTCTCATCTCTCAGAGGTGCCTGTGAAGTGCTACAGATACCAGGGGACACAGGGTTCACTCCGGAAAGGTGGGGATGGGGTTTACAGACAGCTGAACCCGAGTGATGGGTATGTGATGCTCACTGCACTTTGCTTTGTCAGGTGTTCCAAATTCTCAATAATTAAGAGAGAACCACTCCTAAAGGATTTGGCCCACGCTGGGGGCGGAGGGGCGGGGGGGGCTGAGAAGTGGGGCGCGTGGTGGGGGAGGGGTTGGCCTTGGGGACTGAATGCAACTTGGGCTAAGGGGCTGGAAGGCCGGTGGGAGGCCTGGAAGTCAGAAAGCGCTTGGCTTCAGCTGGCTTTTGGTCAATCCTTCACATTTGTGACTCTGAAAGGCAGGACACAGCCACATGCAGACATTTTTGGCTGCTTTCCTTTGATTACCAGTGAGGTTTGGCAATTATCAATTTGCATAGTCCTCTAGATTGCCTATGCCATGGTTGGGGATGTGGCTTAGTGGCAGAATGCTTGCCTAGCATGCACAGGGCCTGGGTTCCATTCCCAGCACCATCAAAAAATAAAATGAAACGAAGTAAGAATAAATAGCTATTGTGAATTGATTATTCTGGTTTTTTTTTTTGGCAGTACTGGGGCTGAACTCAGGGCCTTCACCTTGAGCCATTCCACTAGCCCTATTTTTGTGGAGGGTTTTTTGAGATAGGGTCTCTTGAACTGTTTGCCCAGGCTGGCTTCAAACCATGATCCTCCCGATCTCTGCCTCCTGAGTAGCTAGGGTTACAGGTGTGAGCCACCAGCGCACAGCGTGATCATTCTATTTCTTTACTCAATTCCTTGTCACAATGTGTCCTTTCCTTATTGGTTGGTAAAAGTTCTTTGTATATTGGGGATATTAATCCTTTAACTGTTCTAAGAGTTGCAAACACATGCCTGGTGTGGCATTTCCTGTTAGCTTATGGTGTGTTTTGGTATACACATGGTTAACTTCAAAAAAGTCAAGTTTAATGGGGTGCTCAGGTCACACTTGGAAAGTCCTCCTTTTCTTTTCCTTCTTTTTGTTTTATTTTATTTTGAGACAGGGTCTCACAATGTGACCCGGGCTGGTCTTGGACTTGCCGTGATCCTTCTCCTCTGCTTCCTGAGTACAGAGATTACAGGGGTGTGCCACCATACCCGCTTCCGTCGTTTCCTTCCTAAGATTATAAAACTATTCATCTGATGTTTCAGACCTGCACCAGCAGCTGCTTTGTCAAGAGCATGAAAATTCAGCTTTAAGTCCAGCTAACAGGCATTCCAACCACACACACCTAGCCCTTCTTCCCCCTCTCAAAGGTTGTGGTGTAAGGCAGTAAGCCCTCCCTGTCTGCCTGCTGCTCTGTTCGCTCCTGGACTCAGGCTGTGGCCCGAAGGCCTTGGAGACCCTGTCTACCCAACACCTACCTCCGAACTGGGCCCAGGGCACACATCAGTAAGTAACCAAGTCATCACAGAGGGCGTGATGACCCAGATGCCCAGCTGCTCACCCACCCATGGACTGGAAGCCTCCAGACTTCTTCTTCTTCTTGTTCTGGGCTCGCACCATCTCCCGGGTGTCCGGCTCCACATCCGAGGTGCATTCGGAGGTGGGGAAAGTAGGCAGGGGTCTGCCAGGCCCCAGCTAAAAGGAAAGAACAGAGAGGCAGCGTCACTCCAGGTGCAATCGGGAAGGGGCTGTCCCATCTTTCTCTCATGCTGGATCCCAAGACTTTTCTGCCAACAGGTTGTCCCTGGCTTGGGAAAGGCTCAGGGCCTGAGCCTCTGGAAAACAGGAAGGACCAGGACACGTGCCCCACAGGGCCAGGGGAAGATAGATCTTTGCTGGGAAAAGTGGAATCTTAAGAGTCGAGGGCTTGGGACCACGAGCCTCCTACTTATGCTTCCCTGAGTAGCTGGGGATGACAAGTGGAAGGCACCTCCTCCTGCCACTGGCTGAAATGGGAGGTCTCAACTGGACTGTCCTCAAACCGTGATCCTCCCAATCCACCTCCGGAGGAGCTAGGATTACAGGCTGAAGCCACCTTGCCCATCCGCAGCCTGCCTCTAGACCTCAGTTCTTAGTCACAGGATTATTCTAGGACTAAATAATAAGGTTTGTAAACCTCAACACATGGCCAACAAGCACAAGTTTTAGTTTTAGTTTCCCAGAGTTCTGGGGGTGTCACTGTCTCGAGCCGCCTCCCTTTAATTCAATCTCTCAAGAATGTCCCAAACTCACGAATTCAGACCTTCCGCATTCGCACTTTTCATTGGACGGATACGAACTGGGGTCCGCCCCCTAAGCGAAGGTAGCCAATGAGAGTGCGCGGTCAAGGCCGGTAGGAAGACCGCTGCCTGCGAAGCCTGAACCCCGGATGGGCCCGGGACACGTACGCAGGCGGTCGGCCCGAGCCCGGTTCCGAGCCTGCAGGCTTTCTCCCACCCCAGCGTGGGGAAACTGAGGCCCTGATGAGCGTCCGGGCTCTGCGCCCCTACCTTTCGCGCCCGTGCGTCATCCTCCGCCTGGATCTCAAACTCGCCGCCCTCCGAATCGCTGTCGCGGGCCTGGGAGGCCGCGCCCCGACGCTTGCGGAGCCCCTTTTTCTTTCTCCATGCAGCCATGGCAGCTCGCGGCAGCGGTCCGCCTGTCGCCGCGCGCGTGCCAACCGCCATGCGGGCCGGGCGCGCAGAACCCGGAAGTGGGCGGGGCCTGCGGGACGTACCAACTGCGTGGGGGGACTCCGAGACGTGAAGAATGAGGTTCCCCCCTGTCCCCGGCTCGAATGGTTCGGTCCGTACTGGCCCGCCTCTAGCGGTTGCTGTTTGCTGGATGCGCGCGCCGAGCACACGTCGCTAGGGCCCAGCTGTCCCCGCCACGCGCGGTGCGGGGGCGGCCATAGCTGCTGGAAGTCCCAGATCGCCAGCATTCGGGACTGAGATTAGGATCTTGGATGCACCCCACGTCTCGGGTGTCTGGTGCACCCCCGCTCCATTTCCAGGTCTTGGGGCGGGGGAAGGAGGCGAGGGGAAGGCCAAAGGATGCACCTGACGCCCGCCCGCAAGCCAAGGCATTAAGGTAGGAAAACAACCCGAGACTGCGGGGACCCCGGGCACTGACCTGGGGAGCACAGCATGCGAGGACAGCGTGAGCCCCTTCCCCCTCCCCCACCCATTGCCATATTTAGGTTCCGCTCAAGTTCAAATTCCGCTTCCACTGTTTTAGCTTTGTAGGCATGACCTACGCATGTGACGTCACCTTGCGAAGTCTCAGATTTGTGATCCGGGAAATGGAGGTGATCAAAGCTACGTCACGGGGCTGTTGAAGATTAAATGAAATAATGCTTATACAGCTCTTTACACGAGGTAAGCATGGGATGGACTGCTTAGTGTGACCCCCTCCCCCATATATATACACGCGGGATACTAGTCTCCCCTCGCACCATAATTAGTTTTCGGGTTGGTGCCGACCCTCGTTCTATAAATATTAGTGAGCACACACCCTATGCTAGAAGTACAGATTTACTTATTCACTATTTCCCAGCAACACCCCCTCCCCAGCACAACTCAAAGGCCCCCTGGGTGTCAGCCCCCCTTTGAAAAGAGCTAGACCCTTTTGCCCTTGGGATGGGGACTCCACAGAGCCACTGGTACTGCTGTTGGCTAAGGGATGCCACCTTGATCCCTTTCACAGGGAGCCCAGGAGGCAGGGCCTGGCAGGCGGAGCTCACTCACTGTCACCAGGGACAGTGGGTATGAAGACCCCTGCTGACTATCAGCGGGATGCAGACCCTCCACCTTCAGCACCGCTGCTCCAGAGGCTACAGGGTCAAAGCCAGAGAATCATACGTGGATGAGACCCTTTTTGGCGGCCCTACGACCTCCCGGCTCACCCCACCAGACTTTGACCCTCCCTGGGTGCAGAAATCTAACAAAACCAGAGGAGGGGAGTCAGGGGCATCACAGGCCTCCCCGGCCAAGGGGAGCCACGAGACCACCTTCTGCAGGGGTACTACCCTAACCCTCACGCCAAAGAAGAAGAACAAGTACAGGTAACAGGGTGGGGAGATGCGCACCTGTACTCAGTGTAGCACCCTGGGTTGCTGTTACAGCCTGCTGTTTGCCTGCTGTGTGATATCGGGCAAGCACCTCGACCTCTCTGAGCTACAGCTTATTCATATGAAAAACTATGAGACGATGTATGTGACCGACCTGCTGAGCCCTGGGCCTGCAGATGACAAGGTCTTAGTCAATATGCAGAATTCTGTCAGGAGCTTCTTGGTGCTATGCGGCCTGGCTGGCTGCAAGACAGCAGCTCAACCTGAGCGCCCTCTACCGGCCAGGCTTTGCAACTTCAAACATTGGACAAGGGGCAGAGGACTGCAGAGGGGTGGGCTGAGGGGGCCTCTGGGAAAAAGAAAAAGTAGTTCCTTAGAGAAGAAAGGGAATGCTAAGAAGACCTCGGTTATGTCAGGGCTCTGTCCTCTGTCCTCGTACATTGCACGTCTGCGGAGCTAGACTATTGCAGGGGAAAAATTGCATCTGTGTTGAACAGAATTTTGTGGGGTCGTTATTCCCTAAACAATGCAGGGTAGCCACTGATTTGTAAGAGGTCTTGTAAGTCACCTGGAGCCGATGTAAGGTAGTGTTTGGATTCTGTGCAAACACTATGCCTTTTAATACAAGCGACCGTAGCATCTACAGATTTTGGTGCGCGCGGGGGTTCCCGCAACCCATCCCCTGCGGAGACCAGGGGTCTGGCAGGTGGCAGAGAACTTGTTCAACTGGATTCAGCAGAAAAAGGGCAGCGAGGGCTTATGTAATGGTGCAAACTCATAGGGCCTGCCAGGCTGCACGTTAAGGCTGTTCTCCTGAACTCTGAGATGATGTATGCCCTGCATGTCCTTAAGTCCCCAGGAGGGGCGACAGGGCCACAAACTGCTTTAGGTTGATACCTTGTCAATTTAGCTAGGAGCAAGGCCACGTGGCAGAAAAAAAAAAAAAATCTCTCTTCCCTAAGTATTTTCAGCAAAGATCCTCATTGGACAGACTTGGAGGCACGTGTGGCCACTCCTAAACCAATCAGCATAGCCAGGAGGATGGACTATGCAAATTAGCCAGGCCTGGGGCTAGTGCCAGGGAGTGGGGTCCTGATGCAGGTGCGTGGATATTTTGCGGGAGAAAGATGAGTGGAAACTGAACAGAGGTACACGAGAGGACTGGCCTTACTGTGGGTGACAGGCAGGGAGCTGTTGCTGGTGTCTGGTGGGGGAGTGGGGCTGCTGGGTTTTGGGGGTGATTCACTGTGGTGCTCTTCTCCCCGCTACCCCAGACTGATCCGTCACACTCCATCTTACTGTGATGAGTCGCTGTTCGGCTCCCGACCTGAGGGCGCTGGCTGGGACACCTCTCGCATGGCCAGGGGAGATGCCGCGAAGCTCAGGGCCCTCTTCTGGACACCACCTGCTACCCCCAGGGACGACCGTTCCCCGCGCCCCAGGGAGACCCCACTTCGAGCCATTCATCCAGTTGGTCCCTCCAAGACCGAGCCCAGGGTGGCTGCAGACTCCAGAAGTTGTCCTTGGACGGGTTGGATGCTACCCACCCCCTGGGGCGGGGGCGTTCCCATTCTCTCACCCACCTGAATGTCCCCAGCACGGGTCACTCAGCCACCAGTGCCCTCCACACCAGTGGACCTCGGAACTCCAGGCCTTCCACATCAGGGGTGACCTTCCGGAGCTCCCTGGTGACTCCCAGGGCTCGCTCAGTCAGCATTTCAGTGCCAGCTACCCCCACACAGCGGGGGGCCACCCCAAAACCAAAGCCCCCTTGGAAATGAGGTTCTTTATTGGAGAACTTGCCTGTGGGTCACAGCTAGATGGCAGGAATCCTCTGTAGAGACCAGCATCTCCTGGGGGGAGGGGTGTCACCCTAGGCATCAGAGAAGCCCTTGCGGGGCCCTGTGGTGAGCCTGGGCACCCTTGTGTCATCTGGGGATTTGGGGCCACCCCTTGAGATGGCTCTGGCCCTGCCTTGGCCACACTTCATTTCAGTGCCAACCCTTGTCTGTCCCCCAGTGTGAGTTGCCCACCCTGGATGCATTCTTCCCCTCCTCTCAAGCTGGCTTCCTTATGATTTACCTTCTCCCCGAGTTTGGGAGCCTCAGGAGCTTTCCTGGGCTGTGTGTGGACTGAGGGGACACCAGCATCTGGGTGATGCCGGTAGACATTTTTCATTTTAATGCTCATGTATTTATTTCTGTAGATTAAATGTATCAAGAACTCATCAAGGCTACAGCGTTATTGTTTTTCCCCCTCAGTGAAGGTCAACGTTAGGCCAATATGACAACAGGTAGTAAAGGATGTGGCAGAAATCATGACGGTGACAAGCAGGCCACTGAAGTCAGGGCTCAGAGCAAGGACTGTAATTATATATATACATTTCCTGCTTTGAGGAGGTGGTTAGGACTTGGCCCAGTGGAGGAAGCCAGTGGTGGGTGCCTGGGAGAGCGCCTAGGAGGGACCCTGAGGGCACATTTCTCTCCCCTGTGCTGCCACAGGACCCTGGCCCAGGCTGTGCACAAACGTCATAGCACTTGATGAATGGGGTCCCACTGGGACCCTCAGGATCCCAGTGTCCAGCCCTGGTGATGGGGGTGGGCGGCACCTAGGCTGGGGCCCCTTGCCCCACTCTCCCTTCATTTCAGGGAGTCTACCATTGCTTTGGTGACCCTAGAAGGGTGGACACAATGCTGGAATAGGAGCCCAGGACTAAAAGGAAATACATGCCATGAGTCAGTTGACCCATGAGGGAAGCCAGCCAGATGCACTTGACACAGACATGCTTTGCACCTTAAAGATTTTAAGAGCTTAAAACTTCTGGAACTTTCACAAAGAATTCATTCCCCGCACCTCCAGCTTTCCTTGGAACACCCACCTCTAATTTGCCTCTCCCACCTTGTGTTTTAATAGACACTGGCTAGAAATACCTTTCTCCTCCCACCTATGCTGAAGGTAAGCCACAGCCTCGCGTGGTGCTAGGGGGTAGCTGACCTGGCTGGGTCTGGGAGTTGTGAGTGGTGGGGACTGGGGCAGCCTGCAGTCACTACCCTCTGACGGGGCAGGGGCACTGTGTTAGCTGTAGAGGACACACAGGTCTTGGGGTAGCTGGGTGATGAGATCTTCCCAGAAAAGGCATCCGGATTTCTATGTGATAACTCACAATTTGTTTAATACCAGCAAGTAATTTTGAAGAAATTGTTCAGCTACCTGGGCACCAAATACAGCTGCTGGTCTGTCTACGGCCTCTGTGTTCCTGAGCTCTCATAGTGCTGGAAGCAGGGAAACTGTGACAGGGCACCGACACCTTTGCGTCCCAGCTCCTTTGGAGTTCTCTGCTCCGTCCCCTGCTGGCAGTTGAGACCCACACCCACTGCCCTGGTGGGTGATAGTCTGACACGATCATGGCAGCTTCTGGGCTGCAGCCAGGGCCTTTGTTTCCCACTGAGACAATCTGTGGATTGAGCCCCAGGCCTGCACACTCCACAGGAAGGAGGCACCTGTGAGCACCCACAAGCAGACACACAGCCACAGCACCAGGTAGAAAGGTTTATTTGTAGGGTGTGTCCTTGAGTGTGATTTAAAACCTGCTCTCATTTTAAAAAGCCATCAAAGCCATGATCGGCAGGATTCTTGCTTCTGGAGGGCCTGGGGACAGGATGGGAGCAGGGCTCGGAGGGTGCAGGGCTACTTCCTGACCTTGCCCTTGGCCTTCCCTTTGCCCTTGCCCCGCTTCTTCTTCTTCCTCTTGGACTTGAGCATGGAGCGGACCAGATAGCCCTTCCACACGGCCTGGATGAGCGTGGCGGCCCTCACCATACGCAGCATTTCGCGCTCTGCCTCCATCCTTTTCTTGGAGTTGATCTCGCGCTCCGTCCGGATCTGGGCGAACTCCTCCACCAGCACCACGTGCTGCTGCCGCAGCTCCTCCAGCTGCAGCTTCTCCTCCTTGTGGATGCTTTCCAGATCCTCGTACTCATCCTGGGTGACGGTCAGGACTGGGGGTGGGCACAGGGCGTGCCTCTCACGCTCTCCCCACCCTCCTACCTTCCCCAGGGGCTTCGGCCCCACCCTTGCCAGAGGCTGCACCTGGGCCCAGGTGGACCCAGCTGAGGTCAGGTTAGGTGATGGCTCTATCCATGTTCTAGGGAGGACCCAACTGAGTGATCTCAGGAAAGAGGGCTGCGAGCAGGGCAGGGCCTAGTTTCAAATCCCAGCGGAGCTGCGTTTTAGGAGACTTCACCTTTCAAACCTGTTTTTTTCTCATCTGAAACAGGGGCATTTTCAAACCTGGGGCTGTGTCTGGGATCAGATGATCTTGTTACATCTGAATATGAAATAGCCCCCCACAGACCATGTTGAACGCCTGGCCCCCAGCTGGGGGCACTATTGGGAGATGATTGGATCGTGAAAGCCCAGCCTCATCAATGGGTTCATCCATCCCTGAGTTCATCCTGAGTGGGCTAAAATTTATTAGGAGGTGGGGCCTGGTTGGACAAGGAGGCCACTGGAGATGTGCCTACTTGTCCCTGGCCCTTTCCTCTCCCTCCCTCTCTGGTTCCTGGTCACTATGAGATGAGCAGTTTTGCTCCATAATGCATGTTCTGTTATGATGTCCCTTAGACTAAAAGCAGAGGGACCCAAGTGACCATGGGCTGAGCCCTCTGAAACCTTCAGCCAAAATAAATCTTTCCTTTTTTTCCAGGTGTTTTCCTCAGGTATTTTGTCACAGCATCAGAAAGTTGACTAACACAAACCATACGGTCAAAGTACAGGACAGAGCCAGGCAGAGTGGGGACACAAGAAATGACGGCTGCTGCTGGGGAGCAGTCACAGATGTCCGGAGTAAAAAGATCTCCCAAGTGACTGATCCCAGAGTTCTTCTCTACGTCTAACCATGGCCCCTCCTGCTGTACCTTCCCTATTTTGCTCCCTTCCTCCTCTTCCTCCACTCCTCCCTTCCACCATCATTCACAAGCTTAGAGAGGGCAAGTCCTCAGGCTGGCAGAGTGGTTCATGTGATAGAGTACCTGCCTAGCAATTGTGAGGCCCTGAGTTCAAACCCCAGTCAAGCTGGATGCTGGAGGCAGAGATCTGGAGAATCACGGTTCAAAACCAGCTTGGGTAAATAGTTCATGAGACCCTACTCGAAAAAACCCATCACAAAATAGTTCTGGTGGAGTGGCAAATACCTCAAGGTGGAGACCCTGAGTTCAAACCCCAGAACCACACACACACACACACACAAAACAAGGTCAAGTCCCTGAGTGAGGTCACACAGCTGGAGAGTGACACCAGCTTGGGACCTCTTCAGAGGATAACGGGCTTTCTGTCCTGCACTGGTATATCCTGGCATCTGGCACATCAGGCACTTGGTAGAGCTTGCTGAGGGGCTGGGGTGAGGAGACTGCCTGAGTCAGGTAAACTGAGCAGCCTGCAACCCACTCCAGGACTGGACACTAGAGGGCGCCAAGATCGCGAGGCCTAGAGGCAGGTGCTTCCAGAGGCTCGCAGCTCCTAGCCCTTTCCCACTTTTCCCCTCTCTGCCCTGGCTGGTCACAGTCCTGGGACAAAGGATGAGGCCTGCCCAAGAACATCAGGCACCATTGTGGGCTTCTCCCCATCCTCTTAGTCCTCCAGGATCTTGGGGAAAACACCAGAAAGAGACCTAGTGACAGATACCTGCTTCTCACCCATCTCCGTATCGTATTTCTGGATCCAGTTCTCAATTTCTGTCTCCACTTTGTATTTTTTCTGAAAGAATCCAAACAGTCATTGTCTGATGGCGTAATAGTCACAATAGCAGTCCTGAGCACTGTGTGCTGGCAGACCATGCAATAGATACTTCTCTGCCTCTCTGCTGAACCCACCCCCTCCTTTCTCAGGCGTGCTAACCCAATTGCCCAAGATGACAGAGCTAGGGGTGGCAGAGCCTGGATTTGAAGTCAGCAGCTGAATCCAGAACATTCTAGACAGAGGGAACAGCAGGTGCAAAGGCCCTGAGGTGCAGCAGGCTTAAAGAACAGAATGAAGCCAGTGTGGTTAGAATGGAGTGGTCCCCGGCAAGGTCCAAGGGCAAGGCTGTGTCACTGGAAGTGCCAGCCCAGGGCAGAGAGGACTCATGTAAGGGAGAGGGGAAGCCGCTGGTGGATTTAGATGCACTTGAAGAACAGGACTTAATTTGTTTTCAAAAGATCAGCTCCCAGCCAGGTGTGGTGGTACACACCTGTAATCCCAGCACTCAGGAGGCTGAGGCAGGAAGATAAGAGAGTTCAAAGCCAGGCTGGGCTACATAGAAAGACTCTGTCTCAAACAAACAACACAGCCCCTACCAAAAGAAATCAGCTCCCATACACATAATGGAATGTGATTTAACCATAGAAAGGAACGAAGCATTGACACCATGGCTGAACCTTGAACCCGTGATGCCACATATGTGACTCCATTATAGGAAATGTCCAGAACAGACAAATCCACATGGGAAGCAGAGTGGTGGTTGACAGGGCTGGAGAGAGGGAGGAATGGGCAGAGGGGTGACTGCTTACTGGGTAGAGTTGTATTTTCAGGTGATGAAATAGTTTGGAACTAGACTGAAGTGGTGCTTGGACAGCATTGTGAATGCCAGGTACCCAATGCCACTGAACCGGTCACTTTGAAAATAAGTAAATAAACTCCCTGATTGTACAAAGCACAAGTTCTCAACTTGGCATTGTGGAGGGGCTGCCTTCCAGGGACCTGTAACCCCCGAGAATTGTCTACAGCGTCTCGGTCTTTTTCCTGGGGAAGAGGCCAATGGCTCCTGTCCACATGCTCAAAAGTCATGATGCTAAAAGACTGAGGACAAGTGTCAAAAAGGTGCCCTTAGAAGAAAGAGATTTGGAAGTTGGGTGGTGGGCCTGGGCCCACCTGAGACAAAGGCCAGTGAATTGATGATGTTTGCTGAACAGCTGCTCTGTCCCGCCATCCCCCTCTGGCCTTCTCAGGTTCTCAAACAACCCCTTGCTACTGCCTTTATCATCCTCCTAGGCAGACAGTGAAAATGAGCCTCAGAGGGAATCAAGTTCAAATATGCCAGAGGCCATGTGATGCCTCCTTCCCTCTCACAGCATCCACCAAGTGAGGAGTGTCATCCCATGGGGCCAGGGGAGCTTGCCCTAGGACGGGGACCAGCCTGTCTGGCTTGTGCCCGTCCTGCCCCCTGCCCCGCAGGGGATGTTTGCCCAGCTTTGGACCTGCCTTGCACCTTCCTCCTGGGCTAGTGCTGCCCTGCCAGCTCTGCTCAGCCTCCCAGGAGAGATGGCACTCCTCCCCCTTCCCCCCTGCCCCCAGCTCTCCAGGGCACCTTCCTCAGTGCCTGCTCCACCTCCTGGTTCTCCGTGACCTGGTTGTGGTACTGTGAGTGCAGCATCAGGAGCTCCTGCTGGATCTTGGCTAGCCTAGCCTGCGAGGCCCGGAAGTCCACCTTCTGCTGCTTCTCGGCCTCCTGCTTCGTGCGGAGGAGGCTGTTCTCTGAGAACTTGAGCACCTGGTGCAGGTGGTTTTTCAGTTCCTGGATCACAAAGTTCTCCTTTTCCACCTGGCTCAGAGTGAGGAAGGCTCTCTTAATACTCACCAGTCACCAGCCATCGCCCCTCCCTGTTTTTTAAATTCAGGAGTGGGGATTGAACTCAGGGCCTTGCATTTGCTAGGTAAGTGCTCCACCACTCAAGCCACATCACCAGTCCTTTTTACTTTCTTTTTATAAATAAAAATACTTCTTTAAAATTTTTCAAATAGGGTCTCATGCTTTTGCCTGGACTGACATTGGACCACGATTCTCCTACCTCTGTCTCCCACATAGCTGGGGTTATAGGCATGTGCCACCATGCCTGGTCCTCATTTCCCTTCTTAAAGGTTCTTCCCAGGAGCTAGGGATGTGGTTTGGGTGGTACAGCACTTGCCTGGAGCCATCTGTCTCCTGCCCTTCTCTCTGGGCCCCTTCCATTTCCTCACTGGCAACATGCTGGGTTGTGAACTGCCCAGGCTTATTCCCATCTCAGGACCTACGTACACACTCTCCCATCCACCTGGAAGAAGGATCAGTAGGCCAAATCCAATCAGACTCCTGTATTTGTCAATAAAGTTTTATTGGAACACAGGTTCCACTCATTTCCTTAATGTTTGCTTATTGTTTACAGCTGCTTTCACACTAATGGCAGAGTTGTGTTGAGTAACTGCAACAGAGTCCATGTGGCTCATGAGGTCTAATGTGTGGAGTCTGTGACCTTTTGGAGATGAGAAAGGTAGTGGAGAAATGAAGCTGTCGCACTCCCCATGACAGGCAGGTTACTGTACATTTTGTGATAAGCTGAAGAAAAATGGAGTACTGGCACCCTGCTGAAGACCAGCCACCAACAAGATGGCAATGATTCTGACCTAGAACTGAGGCTGGGCATGGGGGAGGGGGAGCTGGAACACAAGCACAGGGGCATTGTCAGCAGTTTGCAGAATGGCACATGCACTTTAAAGGTCTCCTTTTCCCGGGGTCGGGGGAAGCATTCATATGCAGAACCTTACCTGGAAAAGTGACAAATAGTGAAACCCTTCCCCATAAATGAAGTGCACGTCTCTGCTTGGGGCTGCCCTGCTTATGGAGTGGCCTGCTGTGTTTTTCTGTAATAAACTTTAACTTTCCTTTCACTTTGGAACTCAGTCACATCTGATTTCTATCCAGTTTGCCAGCTCCTGACTTGGACGTTCTTCCTCATCTCATTTGCCTGGTTCACTCCCTCTTATCCTCCCACATCCGACTTCAATGTCCCTGAATCTTTGGGTTTAAGCTCAACTCTCCTGTATCTTGCCCTATAGCACCCTGTACTTACCCTTCATTGTACTTCTCAAAACTGTAATTAAATGTGTTCTTTAATACCTAGCCCTTCTACTGTGAACTCTGTGAGCCTGGAAGCTTGTGGGCTTATTTACAAGACCTGCCTCCCAGCAAGTGCTCCAAACAACTTCTATGGAGTAAATGAATGCGGGAAAATTTCTACTTAAATCACCTGAGGAAAAACAAACAAACAATCCAAAAGGTCTGGGCCTCTCCATGTGGTTCTCTCCACACCTCCACACCTTGGTGGATGCTGGGAAGACTTACTTCTGTGTCCCTGTTCTTCAGTCTTGCTGTCACTTCGTTTTCAAGGCTGTCAATGAGCTCTTGGTTCTGCTTGTTCCGCCGGGTGATGTCCTGTATGAACTGGGCCTTCTCTTTCATTTCCATGGGGTTGGTGAGAAGCTTCTCAAACAGATATCCCCGCAGCTCAGTCAGGCTCTGAAGGAAGTGCTGGGCCTCTGCACTCCTACCTGGTGCCTGCACCTGCAGAAGCTTGGTGGCCCGGGGGTCACAGATCAGGACTCTCAGGACGTTCTTGCTGGAGTCTTGGACCTCCTGCATCAGTGGCTGGAGGTTGGCCTTGTGCAGCTGGATGGAGAGGTGGCGATCTTGATACCACCTTTCCTCAGCATCTTCCTCCTGTCGCAGCCGCATCTCTTCCTCCTGCAGGGCATCAACGTTCTCCAGAAGCACCTGGCACAGGTCCATGTGCTCTTTCATGACACTCATGATGTCCTCTTGCAGAATGCCCTCCAGGGCCTCCGGGTGGGACTCCACATATGACATCAGGGTCACCAGCTCCACCTTATAGATGGCCTCATCCAGGACAGACATGATCCTCTTGGCCTCGATGGTGGTGAGTTTGGACTTGGAGGGGGCCAAGGGTGTTAGCGGCTTGGCCAGCGTTAGAGGGGCCTCTGTCCTTACCCGTATCCCATGGATGGCAGGGCCTTGGTAAAGAGGGGCCACGGAGAGAATGTTCAAAGCCATCTCTCCAGCAGTGTGCACACTCCGCATGCCCTCAGAGACTGAGGCGTCAACAGACTCTTGAGCAACCCTGCAAAGAAAGGGGTGGCTGTTAGAACCGGGTGACATCCATGTGGCTAGTGTGGTCATAACAGCCACATGTTGATGGTCACCTGAGAGAAGCTGCACTTAATTTTTCTTTTTTCTTTTGTGGTACTGGGGCTTGAACTCAGGGCCTACACCTTGAACCACTACAGCAGCCCTTTTTTTGTGATGGGTTTTTTTGAGATAGGGTCTCATGAACTGTTTGTCCAGGCTGGCTTCGAACTGCGATTCTCCTGATCTCTGCTTCCTGAGTAGCTAAGATTTGCAGGAGTGAGCCACCAGTATCTGGCTGGAGCTGCAGTTTTATACAGAACTTTTCACTGAAAGCAGCTCTTAGCTCTGTGATGGTGTTTGGGTCACCAGGGTAGGAGGACCAAGGATGGAGGAGTGTCTCGGGTACGGTGTGTCAGGCCAGAGCAGTCAGGCAAACAGACACTGTTCTGAGGATTCACATGCAGGGACCTGGTTATTGGGGTGACAGAAAAATGGAAGGGGAAGCCAGCCAGTAGTTGTCAATGGCAGAAAACCACCATATAAAGAGGAGGTGGTGAGTCTGGGGCCTCGGGTCACCAGGGGAAGCTCAAACCACAGTCATTAGCTCTCAGAATCTGAGATAGAGCCACAGCTGGAACCACCATCGTCCAAATAGAGAGTGGGAAAACCATGGCTTCTCCTTCCGCTTGCCCTCCACTCTGATGTCACTACTGATGGGGAGCCTGACCCAGCCTCCTTCAGGGATGAGCAGCCTGAGGCACGAGCAGGACAGGGACAGAGTAAACATGGGGTGAAGAGCAGACAGGACTAGGGACAGCACGCTGCTCACTGAGTTTTGAGTGTTGATTTAAAAATTGAGGGGACAGTAACAATAACTTCAAAGTAGGATTTAAAGAAGTTTCTCTGGGGTAGTGCTGCATACCAGCACTCAGGAGGTGGAGGAAGGAGGATCGCAAGTTCAAGGTCAGTCTGGGCTACACTGAGACCCTATCTCAACAAAATAAAACAACCCTCTCCCCCGGCCCTGGGCCTTGTTTTAGGGAAGACTCAGTACTGGATCATAGATTGATCCTGGAATGGTAAAGGACAACACAGAATGTGGAAAGTCACCAAGTCTATGGTTCAGTTAGCAGCACTGCACCAACGTCAATTTCTTAGTTCTGACAAACATTGTGTTTATATAAGAAGCGACATTAGGGGGAGCTGAATGAAGGGCACATGGGAACTCTGTACTGTCTTTGCAGTTTTTCTGTAAATCTAAAATTATTGCAAAATAAAAAGCTATTTAAAGACTATTTCTGCTTGATGGCTCATGCCTGTAATCCCAGCTGCTCAGAAGGCTCAAGGTCCAAGGCCACCCCAGGAAAATGAGGAGACCCTAAACCTGGGTACATGTGCCTGTCACCCCAGCTACACAGGAAGTGTAAACAGGAGGATTGCAACCCAGGCTGACCTGGCCATCAAAGCCACACTCTATTTGAAAAATAACTAATGCAGAAAGGGCTGGGGACATGGCTTAAGTGGTAGAGCACCTGTCTGGCGAGTTTAATTCCCAGTACAGTGGTGCAGAGGGAAGAGGAAGAATCACTAGGACTTTATGAGTGAAAAACAGAAACCAGGGAAGTTGGGAGATGTTGAGGGGAGGACGAGGCACTCAAGTTCATGCTCCTCGAGTTCTAGCTGCCGTAACAGAGTGGACAGTGGGCAGGGATGTGTTGGCCTCCGTGATCTGCATCCTCCTTGGCAGGTGACAGTCCCCAGCTTTCCTTCGGGAACACTCCTGGGTGCTGTTGTCAGGGTTTGCAGCAGGTCCCAAAGGCCTAAGTGCTAACAGCCTTGTCCCCAGCTGTGGTGCTATTGGGAGGTGATGGGGCCTTGTGGGAGGTCCTTAGGTCACTGGAGTGTGCCCTGGAAGGGGACGTTGGGACCCTGGCTCCTCCCCGGCCCCTCCCTCTGTCTCTCTCTGCTTCCTGATGACCATGAGGTGAGCAAGTTCCTCTGTCATGGGTTCCCACCACATCACAGACCCAAAAGTAACAGAGCCAATCAGTTATAGACTGAAATCTCTGAACCATGAGCTGAAAGAAACCTTTCCTTCCATTTTTTTTTCCTTTATATACACATTTGGTACTGAAAATTAAAATAACATCAGAAATTCCTTTTATGGCAACCCAAATAGTTGAAAATGAGAAAATAGAGTCACCTACCCTAATTATTACACTCTAACCAGACTACCCATGTTCTCCTCACATCCCTTCAGGTTACACTTCATTTCACAGACTTCAGGCTTCTAAAACAAAGACTTAAGACCTTTGATGCCTCTTTGCATCAAATGAAAATGTAGAAGTGAAGCATTCTGAAGTCATTCACATACGAATTACACAGATCCCTTCTAAGTTAATGATAGAGGTAGGAAGATCCCCAGCACACTCACAAAACAGTGAAAGTGAAAGAGATCCAAGAGAATCACAAGATCCGATCATGTACACCAGTAATTCACAATTAGTGGTACCCAGCTTCCCACATGCTGTGTTAGATTACCAGCAGAAAAACAGATTTATGTCTAAATTCAAACCCAAGTCCCACAAAAAAAAATTTAAGTCTAAATTGACTGTGCTCTCTGTCCCAATCACTCCCTATTCTAGCATTCTCAGAAGGACACCATGGTACAGGCGGTGACTGAGGTGCGTCTGGATGCCACACTGAATGGTTCACTTGGAACGCCTTTAATCGCGTCTCTTAGATTTCTTCTTCCAAGGCAGGAATATCTGCTCCCCATGAGCACTCTCACGTGGCCAGGCATTCTCTCCTTGTGGATAACAAGATCCCAACCCCTCTCTGCCTGCAGGGAGCGTCACCTCTGGTCTCCTGTAGGACCTTTCACTTCTGTCCGGCACTTGGGCTGGACCTTCTGGGAGAGGGAAGGGAACCTGGGAGGAGGGTAGAGGGTCAAGTCATGAAGGTCCCTTACCAAGGTTTCTGGATGAGAGCTCCTGACTTGCGTGAAGCACTTTCTTCATAGGCCACCTGAAAAGACTCCAGGGCCAAGGTTGGGATAAAGGCTTGCGATGGCTCAACTGGTGGTGTGCTGAAGCAAAATTACTCCAGAATAGCCCAAAAAAATAAAAAAATTAAAAATGGAGTCCCAAGAAAGAGCTAAAACTCCAAACTTCAACAAGTGGTGATGAAATAAGAAAACCTAAAAAGCTAGGCCTGGTTTCCTTTTAAACTACTGAAACCTTTCCTTCTGATAAGCTGTTCTTCTCAGGTATTTTGTCACAGTGACAGTAAAATGACTAACATGGCAGTCCTGGTGGGACTGCCTGTAAAAAAGCCCTGCCCACTCTCTCCAGGAGTGTGAGTCCTAAAGAAGGCAACACATGGATGGGAAGTGCTGGGAGATGAGGAGCCTGCTACCAAGACCCCCTAGAACTTTCTTGGCTATTGTTCCATTCTTTTTGTGGTACTAGAGATTGAACCTAGGGCTTAGCACTTACTTTACCACCTCAGCTACAACCTACCCTTTTGTTTTTGAGACAGGATCTCACTAATTTTGCTTGGATTGATCTCAAACTGGTGATCCTTCTTCCTCTGTCTCTTGAGCAGCTGGGATTACAGGCATGCACCACAATGCCTGACACTATTGTTTCATTCTGAGGGCTGGTTATTCAGTGTTCCCTTCATCATTTGACACAGCCAGGGTCACTTTTTCTTTCTTTCCTTCTTTCCTTTCTTCCTTCCCTCCTTCCTTCTTTCCTTCCTTTCTTTCTTTTCAGTACTGGGGCTTGACTCAGGGCATTCATCTTGAGCCACCCCTATTTTTGTGAAGGGTTTTTCAAGATAAGGTCTTGAAGCTGGCTTCGAACCATGATCCTCCTAATCTCTGCCTCCTGAGTAGCTAGGATTATACCTGCCCAGGGTCACTTTCTGTTGCTTGCAATCAAAGAACCTTAGGTGGTCCAATGCCAGAGACAAGGGACAAGCCATGATCAGGAGGCCTTGGGGATGGATACAAATGCAGAGAAGGACATAATATATGAAGCCACAAAAGACACCTTCAGTTCACCAAATTAGAGTACAAAGAGAAAAGTGGAGGGGATCAAATAAGTACCTAACATGACTAAGAACAAGGAAGCAAGGCAGCCAGGCCAGGCAGGCTCAAGGATGCTCAGATCCTTAGCGAAGCAAAAGGATCCAAAATCTGAAGTGTCTCAGGGCTGAGGAGGGTGAGGCCGGCACCATCCTGCCTCACTTCCATCCACCCCTGCTTCAGCTCTTGATTAACGGTGGGAGTTCCTTTGCAGCTTCTCCTGGCCATAAAGTTTGTGGGGACAGCCAGGGAGCTCCCCAGCCTCTCTGAGGATGAAGGATCTTTGCCCCAGGCCACGGGATGGACGAGAACCAAGCGTTTAATGAACGCCATTCTCCTGCTCTCCCCGCCCCCCGAACCCCCGCCGGAAGCTCCCAGGCGTATATCGAAACGCCGGAATTCTTCAGAGATCAAGGCTGGAAATGCAACATTTTATGAAATGTTTCCAATTTGCTTTCAGCCAAATTACCTCTTTTGCTTTAAAGGGCAAACTTGTTTTCTTTGATTACCATGACGCCCATCGGTTCTTGACAGCTCATTTGGGTGAACAAGAAAAAGCCGGGGGAACCGGATAGGGGGCGGGGGACGCATTTGACAAAAAAAAAAAATCTCTTTTCCAGGGATCTCTTCCTGTCCCCTTTAATGCACCAACCTTAATATTTAAATCATTCCCAACTTCAGCCTCCCCTTCAACGCTCCTGCCCCCAGAGCGGGCGACACTGTTAATGGATGGGGAAGTTTAATTGGATCTCTCTTTATTTGTCATTAATTCTGCTGATGAACTTTATAAATGGAAATATATCTTTATCATGCAAATTACACCTCGTCTTCATTCAAATAGGTCTGCTGGATATTTTATTACTTTTGCTCTCAGAACATTTTGAAGAAAAAAAAAAAAGAAT